CATTTCTTTTGAAATAGGGCTGACATTTAGGTGGAGAAATTAGGATTATAAATTTTGGGATTTATCAATGAGAGTCAAATGTTACTCCTCAATATTCGTTCTTGTGTTAATGGTTTCCATATTGAATTTGGCACAGTTTTTTTTTTCTTACTTTTTTTGCATTTGCTATCTGCAGGCACTTCCCATATACTTGGATAAACTTTTTAATCAGTATCTTGCTATAATTCTTTCTGTGACATTTGTATTGTCATTTGGAGAGGTATGTGGACATTTGTTTTTCCTTAACCTTGATTCCTTTATATGAATGATTTATCCTTTTTTTGTGGAATGTCTTCTGTTTTTGTTAGGTTATACCACAAGCAATATGCACCCGGTATGGGCTTGCTGTAGGTGCCAATTTTGTGTGTCTTGTACGAATTTTGATGGTGATTTGCTATCCAATTGCTTATCCCATTGGGAAGGTAATTTTCTCTAAATATGTTGTTCGTTTGACTATTTAAGCATGTAAGTTGCATAAATTGAACGAAATTTTCTTGATTTTGAAAAAGTAAGAGAATGACCGTTATGAAGTCTTTGTCAATGCAAGGATTTTATCGAGCTAGAAAAGTTGCTATCGATAAATATTATATTCAAATTAATTGTATAATTCTCATAAAAGAATTGGGTGCATGCTCAAGAAGTTCATAGCATCTTTAAGAGCCTAATTGAGGAGGCTTGGCTGATATCTTTTGCACCCTTGTTTGTTTTGTACAATATCGTTGCCAGTCCTCGAGGACCATTTTAATTTTAGCTGTAGTCGCTGAAAATGGGATCACAGGGTATTGCAAGCCAATGGCTTCTGATGGCTATGCCTTGATTTTAGCTATTCTTTGAACAGTTCCATGCAGGATAAGTATGCAGGCTTGCTATTGCAGTATGTACGACTTCCAAAGTGTTTTTATGGATGATAATACCGTTTCAATTTTTATTTTCTTTTCCTTGTTTTTCTTGTGTAGTGGGTTATTGGGGGCATATGGAGGCATTAGTGCATCGTAGTATTGAAATGAACTAAGGTTGTTGAGACCCTTTTTAAAAAATGTTGGCTGCTTCCTGTTATTTTACATTGGCATTAATTTCGTCCTCTCTTTCGTTTATCTTGACTGCTAAAGGCAATAAAAATTCTCTTGCATTTCAGATTCTTGACTGTTTACTGGGACACAATGAGGCGTTGTTTAGGCGTGCACAATTAAAGGCTCTTGTCTCCATCCACAGTCTGGAGGTATGTGAGTAAGTTTGCTGCAAAGTTCTTTAAATTCCATTATTTTTAAAATTTTTAAACCTCAGTTCTTGTGTATAGGCTGGAAAGGGTGGCGAACTCACCCACGACGAAACAACAATCATTAGTGGTGCTCTAGATTTAACTGAAAAGGTTGCTGCTGTTTAATGCATCGACTTGTTTATCCTTTACTTCTGTTGGATAGTTTCTTTATACACCCTCCCTCCAAACTGTTTCTTATTAGAGTTGTTTCATATCTAATTTGATCAGACAGCTGAAGAGGCTATGACACCCATTGAATCAACTTTTTCTTTGGATGTAAATTCAAAATTGGACTGGTAAGGGTGCTCTTAAGTTTTGGCTCTCACCATTTTATAATTTCTTAACATCAACGGTGGTGACTGCTGAAAAATTTACCTTTTTGAAATTAGCTTTTACCTTTGTCTTTGTCATTATAATAGTGAACATTCACAGTATCAGCTATTGGCTCCTAGTTCCTTCAATGTATACGGTATAGTTGGTAGTTCTTGAGTTTGATTGTCTCCTAGGGAATAATTATTTACGGTACTCCAGATGGTTGCCCAGCTAGATAAAAAAATGTTGGTAGTTTTTGTTTCTTGATCATTTCCCAGTAATTTTTAAAGGAGCATGTACGTTAATATCTGGATTTTTTTTGTGAATTCTTATTCCTACTTTTTTCGATAATCTTGTATTATTTGGAGTGAGTTACTGAGCTTTTTAAAGATACTTTAGGGAGTATTTTTCAAAGATTGTATTCTCAACATTTTTTTGAACAAATAACTCAGGGAAGCAATGGGAAAAATCCTTGCTCGTGGTCATAGTCGAGTTCCTGTCTATTCTGGGAATCCAAAGAATGTCATCGGGCTTCTACTGGTAGGCATTACGATAATCATGAATAAAAAAATTGTATTTTCCTGTTCTAGATTTTGCAATATTTTCTTTATAGCCTATTTATTTCTTCATTTCTTTTGGTTCAACTCTTTACCCTTCTGGAATCAGGTGAAAAGTCTTTTAACAGTACGACCTGAAACGGAGACCCAAGTCAGTGCGGTTTCCATTCGGAGGATTCCCAGGTGTGCTTGCTATTTTGCTGCTCGCACCCCCCTCCCCCCTCCCCCACCAATTTCTGAGAAACATTTTTGAATTGTTTATTTACTTATTTATTTGCTTATGAATGGCAGGGTCCCCTCGGACATGCCTCTTTATGACATATTGAACGAATTTCAGAAAGGGAGTAGCCACATGGCTGCTGTGGTGAAAGTAAAAGGAAAAAACAAGGCTCTTCCTCCTACATTGGATGGAGAAGAATCTGAGGAAAACAAAGGCATGGAATCCCAATTGACAACTCCTTTGCTACGTAAGCAGGACGAGAATTCAGATAATGTAGTCCTTGATATCGATAGAGCTTCCAAGACTTCTGGCATAAGTAGCCAACCTTCTTACCGACGCAATGATGCTTCTTCTATAAATGGGTTGAACCATTATTCAGAGGACATAGAAGATGGTGAAGTTATTGGTATCATCACCCTTGAAGATGTATTTGAAGAACTTTTGCAGGTAAAATTTCTCCCTCTTCTCTTTGGATCATAATGTTACCTATCATTTTAAACTATACCGTAACATGTCTTAATTGATGCAGGAGGAGATTGTTGATGAAACGGATGAGTATGTTGATGTGCACAAAAGGTATTGTACAATCGATACTTTTAATTAGTTCACCGGAACCTACGACGCCACTAATTAAATGTTCTTGATTGATTTATTTCAATTATACTTTTTGCAGAATTCGTGTTGCTGCAGCTGCGGCTGCTTCTTCTATGGCAAGAGCTCCATCAATTAGGAGATTAACTGTTCAGAAGGTAGCAGTTTTTATCTCATTTTGATATACATTCCACAAGTATCATGTTTTTGTTTTGAATTGTTCTGTTCTGTCTTCGGAGATGACAGTCGGGGTTTGGAATGGTATCCTTTTACCAGCAGGGTAAACTGCCATATTCCTAGGTCCTTTGTGAGCATTAAGGGGGTCGAATTGTTTTGATCGAATACCATCTATTTGTTGCTTTAGACCTGTACTTTTAGTTAAGGAGATGAATCGACGTGGGTCAATTCTATCATCAGTAATTCCAGAATATGCTCCCAGTAAAGGGGAAAAAATCAACTAAATCTAGGAGCTCAAAATTCCTTGTAAGATTCCTTGTAACAGCCCAAGCCCACCGCCAGATATTGTCCTTTATAGACTTTTCCTGTTGGGCTTCTTCTCAAGGTTTTAAAACGCGTCTGCTATGGAGAGGGTCTAGCCCTACTCCAACTAGTATCTGGCACCGTCCAGTGACTGACTCTGATACTATTTGTAACAGCCCAAGCCCACCGCTAGTAGATATTATCCGTTTTGGCCCGTATCGCTGTTAGCCTCACGGTTTTAAACACGTCTATTAGGGAGAGGTTTTCACACCCTTGTAAGAAATGGTTCATTTCCCTCTCCAACTGATGTGGTATCTGACGTTCCTTGACCTTCCCTTTTTTTTTTTTTTTCTTTTCTTGTTGGAATTCAACTGGGGCGAGGATTCGATGGTCGAAGGTTACGGTGTCTTGACTTATTGAGCTTTTCTCAGGTTAGCCCTTTGACCATTTTCTTACATGGTACATTATGCTAAAATTTGATTACATGCCTCAATGTACATCATTTATAATAGTTTTTAATTTGTCCTTCCTTTTGTAATTTATCAGGGAGTTCAAACTAAGCAAGCAAGCTCAAACACCAAAGAAATCCACTGAGGATGAATCAAATTCTGCAAAACTTCCAGGAGGAACGTCTTATAACAAGTCTTGAAGGTTTAGGGTTCAGAGCCCAAGCTTCAACTGCTCAAACACTTTCTTCCATGATGAACAAGCTATAAGGTGAACTACAAAACCTAAAACTTAAGCCTACCTTGTATGTAAATTTTGATTTTTTTTTTCTTTTTTTCCAGTCATTGAAACTGATGGTTATATGTTGGGATCATCAAATTTTGCCCCCTCTCATCACCATTACCCCTTATGTTTTTTTTGATCTTTTGGTCTGATTTTCTTTCCTGTACAAATTAAAACTTCTGGTATGGCAGTTCATTTGGTCTTGTTATTTAGGGTTCTTAGCACATGAACCTCCTAAAAAAAAAAAATTAAAATTCTTGCTCTTGGAAAAAGGCTGTAATTTTGGCTTTGGAAGAGTATAGTAGCATGGAATGATTCATTTTCTGCTTTCTTGAATTGTTTATTTATTTACACTCTTTGTTTGTTATATAAATGCTAGTTGTTCAATCATAATATAATATTGGACCTCTAAACATAGCTATCTATTTAATGATAAATGTTGTGGAAATGAAAAAAAAAATCTCGACTCAACAATCGTCCGAATGAAAATCGAATCATGTGTTGTAATTATTCGGCTAAAACGAATGTTAATAGAAGAGGCCCACTAACCTTGTTGGGCCCCGTGTAAGGCCTGGATCCAATCCCATTTGTAGGAGTGAGCCCAAATAACTTTATTGGGCCCAATGTAGGTCCTGGATCGAATCCCATTTGTACGAGTCAGCCCAAATAACCTTATTGGGCCCAGAGCAAGGCCTGGATCGAATCCCATTTGTACGAGTCAGGCCGAACTGTATATATGGGTAAAAAAGTGAAATTCCAATATAATAGAGGAGGCCCACTAATCTTATTGGGCCCAGAGTAGGGCCTGTATCGGATCCATTTTGCACGCATCAGCCCACACTTTAAAGCCCAGCCCATCTACTCGCGCAAAATTTCCAAAAATTGAGGTTCCATCAAGTACGATCAAATCTTTCGTTTCGTGATGACACGCAAAACTGAATAACAGTCGCTGCAAGACAAGAAGAGAAAGAAGAGCATCATGCAGAATTCTTGAGGTCGAGAGTAAAGCAATTTCTTGCTTATTTTCGTGTTGTGCATCTCTCACATGCGGTTTCTGCTCCTCCATCGTCTCTGGAATCTTGAGGTGCTCCGCTAGACTTGCATACTGCGGCCTGTTCGGAGTCTCCTTGGTGGTTTCATGGATTCTCTGATAGTTCGCAGCTCCTCTGACGGAGAAGATGCCATGTGAGTTTCATCACTCGCTTTAATTTTCTGTTATTCTTGCCGATTTTCAATTGTTTATTCGTACGTTCGATTTTCTTGGCTTCTTATGCTGAATAAGCGAGTGTCGTTATTGTAGCGACAGATTGTGGTTTCAATGATTCGCGAGCTTAATTTTTGGTTGTTTTTTGTGTGCTATGTTGATTCCGAGTTTAAATCAATCGCAGTATGCTCGTCGGTTGTGAATTACGGTGTTTTCTGTAATTTTGGTTAAATGTGGTAACTCATTGCATCGCTAGGGACCCGGTCTAATTTTTCAAGGAACGATGAATTGACTCGAGAAAATAGGATACTTGAATTTAGAATTATTGTTGTTGGTATTATTTTGTTGTTGTATCTGAAGCTAGTTTATGTATGCCCGTTGTGGCGGGCGGTTATTGAATGTATCCGGGATCCATATAGGTTGAAATGGAAGTTGGTTAAAGTTTTGGTTAGTCTAAGAAGCAAGTCGTCTCTCAATTCTCAGGTTCTTTCAAAAATAATAGATAAAGTAATCTCCCAAGTTGAGTAAATGTCAGTTTGTCTCGTCTAAAAGTACTAATAAATAATAGGTAGACTCCCTGATTGGATCGAATAGGATCATCTTACTACAAATTTGTTTTAAAGTTCTTGGAACAAATACTATCCATTCCATAATTGATGTAGATAGGTTATATTTACTATTGTTTACACTCTCTAATGCTACCTTATGCTTTCTATTTATCTTCTTAAATCCAGTAGTATTTAAAATCAATTGCCATTAACTAACAAAATGAATACTCTTAAGTGTAACCGCCCCAGCCCTGCTAGAGATATTGTCTTCTTTAGGCTTTCCTTCAAGATTTTAAAACAGATCTACTAGGAAGAGATTTCCACATGCTTCGTTCCCCTCTCTCACTGATGTGGGACCTCATACGAAAAGTAATTGTAAAATGTTATGAAAAGTATCAGGGCATCTGTACATATCGTGAATTAGAATTTGCAGGAGATATGATTGAATTAAACTTAAAAGCGAAGCATAAAAGATTTGATTGATTCTAAGGCTCACTTGAGGCTATTAAGTTTATGAAATGGTGCTTTCTGGAACTGTGATCCTTAAGATTCCAAAGTCACTGGCTAATTTCGATGTTATATGATGGAAATACCAATGGTTCTATAAGAAAGATGAGGAATGCTTCATTTTAACTTTTTAATAATCTCAGTTATGATTTTTGTCTTCGTAGATGTGATAGAATGAAGATTCATGAACAAGATCAATAAAAAAATTCTTCTGATAGTGAGATGCAGTGTAAGAAAGAGGGAATTGAGTTGAGAGAACTGCAGTGTAAGGAATTCCTAACACTTCGTGCAGATACCTAAGACTGAACTTTCAGAACAGTTGATTACGAATTGAGTAGCTTGAAGAAGAGGACTTGCAAAGTTTATTTGAAGAACATTTAGTAATATCGTATATTTGTACAGATTATGTACTTTTCCAACTTGCCTCATTTTCATTGCATCAACAGGAAAAAAGGGGAGAATATTTGGAACTCTGATATTTGGCTTCTAATTTCTCATTGTAAGATCAGGTGGGATAACCTCTTCTCGAAGCAGAAGGACTTGAAGGATGGAAAGAACAAAAAGAATGAGGGAAAGGGAAAACATGTCAGTTACTCCTATACATTCTTCCACCTGATATTTTGCTATTGCAAGCATGTACTCAGCTATGCTATGGCTGGGTTAGCCTGAATGAGAGCTCGAACCTCGTAGACATTGGCTGGACATCGGTTTGGGAACGGATCTGCCCAGAGTGGGTCACTTCTGCTCTATATATTTGGTCACTTGTTGCCCCTCCCACATCAATTAGGATATAGGAACGAAACTTTCCTTTTAAGGTGTGAAAACCTCTCTTTAACAAAAACATGTTTTAAAACCTTGAAGGAAAGCCTAAAGCCCAAAGAGGTCAATATCATATTTGCTAGCGGTAGGCTTAAGTTATTACACATTTTTCCTGATTGCGAGTTCTTTTACGTCTGTAATTCTGTTTCGAGTGTATGATTCACATACTTGACTTTTGGGGATCTTTTTTATTCCTTTCCCATTCTGCTTGTTTTTCAGCATCCTTTGATGCTCTTTTAATAGTGGTACTGTTTCTACACCAAATCAAATAGTTATTTATAATATCCAAATGGATAAGCTTTCTCTTTCACCTTTTACTTTATTTGCCACTTGTTGAAAGTTGAAATAGAAAATTTGATTTTCTATAGGTATTTTGAATTGATTTCCAATTTTATTGGAATCTCTTCTGTCTAACAATTTAAATAGTTATTACCATTAAAAAAAAAAAAAAAAAAGTTGGAATATTAAATTACAAAAACCAAACAAAAAAATCCCTATAAGTTAAAAAATTTATCCATAAATAAATTTTGTTTTAAGAAAACAAAAAAAAACATTCATTTTAAAAAATAATAATTAAAATAAACATCTTCCCTCATTTTCATTACCTTTATTTTTAGAGAATCATTAATTAATTTAACATCACGTGAACGCTTGTAAGCTCAACAGCCCTCCAATTTAATTTCACTTTATTTAATTTACTTTTCCCGCAAATAATAATAATAATAATAATAAGCCTTTATTTATTATTTTTCGTTGGAAACGAAAGTAGAAGAAAAATATATAAATAATATATCGTCTTTCACCATTCTCAGCCACTCTCCTCCCTGGCGCGTGTGTGATCCTCAAGAGACGGTTCACGTTCGCCGGCCCGTCACCACCACTTCGCTAACGTGCGCCGCTCTTCTTCTTCTTGTTCTTCTTCTTTCTCAACCTTCTTTTCTCTCATAGTCCCCTTTTTACAGGAAGATCCCTAATTTTGCCCTAATTGTAAACTCCATTCATTCCAATCTCTACCTGGGCTTTCTATAGAACATGCGCAATCTTCTGGTTCCGACAACCGCCATGCCTCCGTCCTCAATTCTCACCTCATCGTCGTCAATTTCCAAATCCAAGACTTGTGCAAACCCTAGCCCTAGCAATTCCCTTCTCTGTAAACACTCTCCATCCGCAACCCTTGATCTTCTTATCCTCATTCTCGTTCTGTTTTCCGGTACCTTTCTTGTAAAGTCATATTTCTCTTACATTTTCAACTCTCTTTCGATTCTCTTGTCGTATTCGGCCCTGCAGCTTCCTCAATTTCCATTTCCGTTTATTGTTGGGTTTTTGTTGTTTTTCTGTGTGATTGTTGGTGTGTTTGAGATTTGTTGTGGCGCTAGATCGAGGAAATGCGCGAAGCCGGGATGTAAAGGGTTGAAGAAGGCTATGGAGTTTGATCTGCAATTGCAAACGGAGGAGTGTGTGAAGGGTGGGTCCAAGGAGATTGATAAATTGCCGTGGAAGGGAGGTAGTGAGGCTAACCCGGATTATGAGTGCTTGAGGTCCGAGCTGAGGAAGATGGCACCACCCAATGGTCGAGCTATTTTGCTCTTTCGGGCGCGCTGTGGCTGCCCCATCGCGAAGCTTGAAGGCTGGGGGACTAAGCGCGGGCGGCGGCATAAGAAGTGAGTTCATGTTTTGTGCCATTGATCTTTTTTGGAATTGGTTTTTGCTCTAATCATTTTGAAGGCTTGAATTCTTTCGCTCTCTCTTTTTTTTTTTTTTTATCCTGGAATTGAGTTCTTTACTGCTGAAATTATCCCGATCTCCTCCTCCTGAATAAAACTCCTAACACTAAAGAAAATTGATAAGGGAAAAGTCTGTATCTGAATTAGATAACATTTGCTTAAGATATTTGTGGCATACATGAAACTTTTGACAAATTGAGGAGAAATTCCTTCCCTTTTCTGATATTGCGATTGTTAAATGGTCCTATGAGCAATATCATGGAAGTGGGACTAAGGAAGAGCGAAGAGAAAGCATTTTTCTGATTCAGTTTGGTAAGTCAATGCTTGTTCCTATTCGCATATTGATTTCTCGAAAAAAAAAAAAAAAAAAAAAAAAGAAGGGTTGAGTCGATCAATTTCCGTTGACAGGAATCAGAACTTTTAAGTACTTGCAGAGTGCATCATAGTTCTGAACTGAATTGTTAAAAGAAACTAGTCGTTTAGCTGTCTTAGCATCTTGGACTTGTAATTGATACTGTCATGTTTTCAGCATGTGTGTATCCATACCTATTTCTTCATGGAATTCCAACTAAATCCACAGGATCTGAGACTCTAGGTAGATGTTCAAAGTTCAATCATTTATCTTTTTTGGTTGAAAAATTAACCGATGCTGAACTCTGAATTATGTGTTCGTGTAGATTTTGTGAGGGATTTGTAGGTTTGGATTGAATTGATTTACATGTTGGCAAGTTTTTGTTACCTTGTTTTGTTTCTGAGCTTGTATATGTTCATACGGTTCTCATTTGGTGTAGTACTTGCATTTCTTTTATTCTTATCTGCTTATTGACATCTATTGAGGAGATGAATTCTGCCTTGTCTGGTTGACTTGGACAAATTGTTGAGTTTATAGACACTTTCCCTTGTGTTCTTATTAACATTCCTTACATTAACATTCTTTGATTTTTCCTTGTTTATTATTTATGGAGATAGCAACCCTGTTTGAAGTTTTGATTTATTGAAGATGTTTATCTTTTTACCAATTTAAAATGACATAAGTTCTCCTAAATCTTGGGTCCACTCTTCAAGTTAGTTAATTTATTTTTCAGTGGGAAGCTATGCAAGAAAGTTTCGGGGGCTCGGTTAGCATACCTCAAGTAATTTGTTTCTGGTGAGCGATTATTGCTAGGTTGAAGCACTGATGTTCTCGTAGTTGCTAAGTAACTAAATTTATGCGTACATGGTATCCAGCTCTAGTTGGTGCTTATATTGCTGACTTTACAGTCATATACGTGATTTACATCATAGGCAATCTCTAATTGTTTTAATTGAACCCTTGCATTGCCGTTAGGTTAATTTATTATTTTGTTTTTTGTACTTTCAACTTTGGTTCGTTTTGGACCTTGCACTTTCAAAATGTCCATTTTAATTTTATACTTTCAAGTTTTATACTTCACAAGAATTTCCTATAATTTTAAAAGTGACCATTTTGGTGTCTATAGACAAAATTCTAAGACCAATGAAAACCATTTAATACAAAGTTATTACGAGATCCCACATCGGTTGGAGAGGGGAACGAAGCATTCCTTATAAGGGTGTGGAAACCTCTTCCTAGTAGACACATTTTAAAACCTTGAGGGGAACTTGGAAGGAAAAACCCATAGAGAACGATATCTGCTAGCGTTGGGTTTGGGTTGTTACAAATGGTATCAGAGCCATACACCGGGTGGTGTGTCAGCAAGGATGCTAGGTCCTTAAGGGGGGTGAATTGTGAGATCCCACCTCTCTAGGAGAGGGAACGAACCTTTTAAGGGTGTGAAAACCTCTCCCTTGTAGATGCGTTTTAAAACCGTGAGGCTGACAGCAATATGTAACGGGCCAAAACGGACAATATCTGCTAGCAGTGACATGGGCTGTTAACCGATTACATTTCAAGAAAGTTATGAAGTGTAGGATAGTGCTAAAATTTTGAGAAAAAAGAAAATGAGGGGACCAAAACACTTTTTTTTAATGTATAGAGAACAAAACAAATGTTTTAAAAGTACAAGGATTAATATGGACAAAAGCTGAAAATACAGGATCATAATGGACAGCTTGAAAGTGTAAGGACCAAAATAAACAAAAGTTAAAATGAAATAATTAAAACAGTATTTCAATCTATTTCTTAAACCTATCTGAGAGAGTATATTGGTTTTTATCTTTTTACAAGAAACTGAAACATTGTCAGAAATAAACAAATGAAATTATGGATAAAAAACCAAGAGAATAGCCTAGGGTCCAGGTGAAAACACCCCAGCCAGATGGACTGTAAAAGAACAGCCTTTTTATTGCTAAAAGCCATGGAGAGGGTATAATTACAAAAGAATTTCCTATGAGAGCACCATCCTGAGGATGTTATCCTGATAAAATCGTCTATCCTTCAAATATCCTTTGGTTTCTCTCCTACCATATAACTCAGGAATCATCTATCCTTCAAAGGCAACTCAAGCTTTGTCTTTGAACCTCCAACCTGATCAGACTTCCTAAAGCTAATCACGTTATGATGCTATTGCCTTATTTTGTTTCTTCAAAAACCATGAAAATGGTGAATTGTTTTGTGTTTGTGTGTTATCAAATAATCAACCATTTGCACAAAACAGCTATTCATTGGTCCTTATGCACTTATCCAACATGACTTATCATTTGAGATCCATGATAGATTTTTCAATAAAAACCATATATTTATTACTTGGTTAGCTTAGGTGAGATCCCACATTGGTTGGAGAAGAGAACGAAGCATTCCTTATAAGAGCTTGGAAACCTCTCCCTAGTAGACGCGCTTTAAAACCTTAAAACCTTGAGGAGAAGCCTAAAAAGGACAATAACCATTAGCGATGAGCTTGGGCTGTTATAACTTCTTTGTATGAAAAATGTATGATCAAGTCGAGTCCTGTCATATGTTGTCTCATAGCAATTGTTTTCACTGTTCTATATATGCATGTAGCCTCTCTTTCCGGGAATCCTGATTGTGATAATCTAGTTATATAGCTGTATTTCTTACACTTTACAAGTGACATGACTTCCATCCTATTTTACTTCACTGATTTCAGTTTCACAAAATATGTGGAAGCATGAACGTTCTAACGCGCAGGATCTATAGATTTGGAAGTTTTATCCTAAAATCCTGTTTACCTCTTGTGGGCAAAGGGATTGGAAATTCAATGCATCCCGATTCCTGGTACACTACTTTCTAGCTAGTAGTGACCAATGCCTGTAGATTATAGTCACATTCATCTCGGCTTTGTACCAACTTTTTACCACGAGCTCGCATCGAGCTATAGAAAACCCAAACCTTTATCAATTTCCATGTAAAGTTAAATCAGTTCGAAGTTCTTGGCTTCATCTGATGATATATAGAGAGAGATGAATTCTGCATAATTGAAACCTCTTGGAATATACTGGATAGGACATCTTACATTTTATCTTTGTGTTCCATTGTTCTTTTGTTGTTAACATTTGAACTGGTTTACATGTTCTCACTGATGAACAATCTCATTCACATGTTTTCTACCTTGTGATTTTCATTCTGAATTCCGTATGGTTAATTTTAGACGAGATTAGTAATCTTCAATGCTTCCATTTTCTGCAGGGCTCTGGCTACATTGGGCATTAACGGGGGAGGAGGCCATCGCTGATCATCGATGGCGACTTCATTATCGAGAAGACCTTCCATATAACTTACTTTCTCTTTCCATCATTTTACTTATTTTTAGATGCTCTTTCTGAAACATATGGATTATTAGAGCTTTCTTTTATAAGAATTCTATAACATAGTGATATTCATTTTCAGAAACAGGCTTCCCCCATCCCTGCATTAGCCTGGGGAGACCCTCCCCCTCCCTCGCCCATGGAAATTGAAATATATACCAAAACTTACTGCAAATAAAACGATAGACAATGATAATTATGTCTCATGGTCCATCTTGCGAGTATTTTTAATACTGGAGTCCATTTAGCATAAGCCTTTCTATATATTATTTCTAAATCTGGGTTTGAGTCCAATACTTTCATCCTTAATAGCTTGATCAATATGTATGTCAAATGTGAACGTCTTACCGACGGCAGCTTGTTGTTTGATCCGTATTCTAAGCTGGATTCTGTAGGTTGTAACATTATGTTATTTGGGTATGAAGAACTTCGCGAATTGGACAAGCGTGCCAGTTGTTCGACAAAATGCCTGACAGAGGATGTCTCTTACACCACCTTGATTTTGGGTTTGCCACAAAATGATTGTTGGAGTTAAAGTAATGGAAGTTCTTACCGATGGCAGGTTGTTGTTTGATTCATGTCCTAAGCTGGATTCTGTATGTTGTAACACTATGTTATTTGGGTATGTAAAACTTCGCGAATTGGACAATGCTCGCCAGTTGTTCGACAAAATGCCTGACAGAGGATGCTCTTTCACCACCATGATTTTGGGTTTGTCACAAAATGATTGTTGGAGTGAAGTAATGGAAGTTCTTACACCACCATGATTTGAGTGTGGCTCCAAATGAAGTGACAATGGCAAGTGTAATGTCAAGTTGTTCATATAGGGGTGGGATTTGGAATTGCTGGATGCTCAATGCACTGGTCATGAAGTTAGATTTCGTTAGTCATGTTCTTATTTCAACGACTTTGCTGTACATGTATTGTGTTTGTCCAAGTTTAAAAGATGCCAGGAGATTGTTCTATGAAATGTCAGTTCGTAACGTCGCTTCGACGTGGAATGAGATATTAAAAGGTTACGTAAAAGCTGGCCTTGTTGATGAAGCAAGAGAGCTGTTTGAAAGTATTGCAGAAAGAGATATACGATTTCTTGGGCTACAATGATTGATGAGTATGTGGAAGTGAAACAGTTAAGGGAAGCTTTGATGATTATCGATTTGGCTTCTGCTTGTGGGCAGGCAGTTCCATTCTATTGTGGGTTTCTCAAAGAACATAATGATTGAGCAAGCAAGATGAATATTTGATGTGATGCCTCAAAAGGATGTTTATTCATGGAGCACCGTGATTTCTAAGTTGAGCACAGAATGAGTTTGCCTGATATGGGTTTGGAGCTTTTCCATGGGATGGTGATTTTCACATCTTTTTTTAAGAAGGTCCACACACAAGACAAACAAGGAGCAACCTACAAGTGGCGCCATCCGGCCATGTAAGAGCCAATATTGAGAACTGCCATGACGCAACCAAGAAGGACGATGCATCATCCAACACATCAAGAGTGTGCATTGAAGATAAGCCGAGGCATACTCAAGGTTCAAGAGAAGAAGGCGACACGAGTGTCAAAGACAAGCTCGAATAGGGTCGGGTAGGGCCCCGAATTGTAATCTCAGAAGTCAAGGTTTCGATATGAGTTTCGACATGCAGCTCGAGAATTAAGTTCGTTGATATAAAAGATGAAAGCCCACCAAATTCGGTGTCAATCAAAATACTCAACAGACTATGCACGAGGTCGTTATGTCCGCTTGCCAAAATAACATCTACTCGAGAAGGATTGAAAATGCCTCAAAATGGAAGGGGGAGGCACAGTGTTGGCTCTCTGTCACCCCTGGCCCTTTGGCCCAAACGAGCTACTCTGTGGCACATGCATGTATCACGGGACGAGTGTCTCGGGCCTTTTCCTTTGAAAAGGGTCTTTTAAAGACAATACCAGACGACATGGGTGTATCAGTATTGCGCCCCAACTCACGCATCGAAAAGTATGTCGCAATGATAATTTGAGTGTGGCTGTTATTTACATGCATGCTAAATAGGGAAGTATTAGCACTGCCTTAGATGTGTTTTATCAAATCAGAGCAAGGCTTCCACAGCTTGACCATGGAATGCCATCTTATGGAGTGTATACATCGTAGAACCGAACATTAAGCATTATGGATGTCTGGTGGATCTGTTAGGCAGGGCCGGGCAAATTGAGGGAAGCTAAGGAAACTACAAGAACCATGCCAATCATGACACTTTTTGTCATTTACAGTTTCAAGTTATAAAGCATTGTTTATAACCCTGATTTCTTTTGTATTCATCTTTACATTCCTTCGTTTTGGAACACAGTGGAATAACTCATTACAAAACCATTAGGCTTTGTAACTAACTCACAACCCTATACTTCAAAAACCAAAGCTGATACTTACATGATTTTTACTTAGAAGAACAGCTATAGTACAAACTATCTAACACTAGAAATGACCTAAAAGAATACAACAAATGGCTGAATAAAATTACATCTCACTTTCAATGATCAGTTCAGCAGCAGCACCTATGCTACCAACACCACCAAGTTCAAGCAATGCAAAAGCAAGCTCCTTCTCATTCCACTGCCCGAGTCCACGGCTCAATCGTTTCAATACTTCTACATCCACATCTAGAACCCAGCCCGGCGTACAACTGACCATTAGGCTAACGAACCCCGTCACATAAGCATGCCATGTGGCCCAATCACAACCCAGAGATATCTTTCCATCAAGGGCACTTGCAAGAAATTCCATGTGGTCGCCAAGGATTTTGGGACGCCTCTTTGATGCAGATGATGAAGAGTCAGTACCCCAAGCAAAAGTACCACATAGCACTGCAAAGTAAGCTAATGCATATCCTCCTAGCATGGAAACTATTCCCTCTAAACATGAATGTTCAGATCTATGAACTGAAATGAACCAAGAAGGCAATGTTTCTTTTATCACAGATTGAACCAATACAAAACCGCCTGCAAGCCATACTAGTGAAGCTCCAAGGGAAGCTGCAAGCTGCACTTGAGTCATTGCTGAAGATAATGAAATATGGCCATATCTTTTTCCATTATAGTTGTTCAATTTGCCTGATCTCTCTTTTCGGGTACTATTACAAGCTATTTCTCTTACAGAATCCATCAAAAGAGAGAGAATCTCTTCAACCAATAGAGCGACCTCTCTAATTGATCGGTAGACACGTAAAAAAAGAATACCTGGAGCAACGGGAGAAATCCCACCACAGAAATGAGATCCAAATCCGTGGCCAAGAAGGGCCCCAACACCACCATGATATGAGAGAGGATTGGCAGTCAGGCCAAGGGCGGCGGTGAAGCAGCTTTTGAGCAGCTGAACCACGGCATCGCGGTTCTGGAGGAAGACTGTACGAGATGCTGAGAAGATCAGAAAATCACTCCAACGTCTGGCTTTTTGAGTCCACAAGGAAGCAACGATTGGCATGCATGGCCATGGGCAACCAGCTGCGAGAGACTCCATGGCTGGGCCGGCCAAATTCAGGAAACGTTCGGATGCTCTGTCAATTTTGTAGGTTATGGTAAGGCTTACAAAGGCAGCTAAGGGCAGAGGAAGTGTAGCTGGAGAGCTTCCCCCTACAAACATACAGATAAAAAAAAGTCAACACAATCAGCTAAGGGCTAATAAGGTTTTTCCTTCCGATTTGATTTTTCATATTGATTAGAGCATTTAGTTTAGGGTCTAAATTTCATGTCATTTCAGCCAATCAAAAAGAAGGTGTTTGATAGAACCGAGACAGTGATTACAAACAACATGTAGCCCCTAACTTATCACTTGAACAGTCAAAGATAATCCATGTGAATGTATTATAGTGTAGTTGGATTTGGTTTGCTTTCTAAGTGCCCAAGAAATGCATAATCAAACTTGAATATTTTCATTTAGAAGTTTATCGTGATGACAATGACCAAACCTGCAGCCATACTAGGCACATCGACACCAGTAGCAGCTAGGATTTTCCTGATCTGCTCCTCAACATTAGAAAGATTTGCTGCGGGGCTTGGCCAATCTGATCCATTCATAAAAACAGGTTTCCATAATCCACGAGTTACTTCTGCAGAAAAGTAGCTCGCTATGCTTGCTAAAGATGCTGGCAGAAAATCGGCTAGATCTTTTAGTCCTGTTATGATTACATGAAAAGAAATTAATGATTTGATGAAAAGTTCATTTCAAAATTGGATATGAGAGCAACTTAGATGAACTCTTTTCCTTATTTCAAGTTCACTGCTCAACTACCCAACTCAGAAGAAATCCTAAGTTAAAGACAATTTTCAAGAATGAACTAAATGGGATATCTTAGATTTCAGGCATGATTGTACAAACTGTTAATTGAAAGTTAAGTGCTCCCTCCGAATAAGAAGGAAATAATAAAGATATCACGAACTTGGTCGCAAAGAAGATATGCAAAAATTGTGAAATTCATCCAACATATACATACTAACCTGTAGCCAGCTCACGAGGAGAAAGCTTTCCATGAGCACAGGCTGTTAGAGCAGCATCAATCACAAAAGGAACAGCTTCCATTATATCCCAGGCAGGCAATTTAGATCTTAAAGAAGAATCTTCATTTCCAGGCCCAGAAGAACTACTGCTTCCAGAAGTAACTGAATTTAAAGGTTGATTTCCGCCACTAATTCTTCGGAACATCATGTTAAGAAGTCCATCAACAGTCTGATGAACTGAGTTGCCACGAACATGACCAGAGAGGGTGGACGCTATACATGCTCGATACCAGACTTTCAATTTGGGAAATGAGTCTACAAATACTGGTTGGGGGGAAGAGGAACTTGCTACAGCTGAAAGTCTCATTTTATTGCGACCTTTGTGGACATTTCCAGATACTAGATGGGAATTTCTCAATAAAAGCAGATATTCTGGAGTAAGTTGAGGTCCAACTGTGGGTGCATCACCCACCCCATGGTCTAGAGGAGGATGGTTAAACCCCCAAAGCTTTAAGAGAAGAGTAAACGCATTTGAAAACACGGCATGAGCAGACATTTCTTCCCCTGTTGCTAAGGTCCAATTGAGATTTGGCACACATGATCCGAAAACCTCACAGATTGGCATCAGTGAACATGCAAGCTGTGGAACCTAAACAGACAATGAAAGCATAATGAAATTGATAAGTGGAGGTTGGAATCTCATTTTGAAAAATTTAGAAAAAACAAAACAATAC